ATACGCATTAGCTGTGTGACTGTTGGCAAGTCACTTAACCCCAATTGCACACAAAAAAAGAAAAACGAAAAAAAAAACACAGTTTCTCTTCTTTGTCATTTCACTCATTATAGTCTCAATAGCCAGGATCTCCATCTATGGCTCTAAGATAATAAGCAATTACAGTTTTCACTTTGTTTTGTTTTAATTTAGTCAGTCTAGGTGTTTAACAAGATCTTGTTCTGAGATATTATATTTCTGAAATATTCTTTCCTACATGGAATCTTCCCTGATTGTCCTCCTAGGAAGTTGGTTAGGATCTTTCCCCCCTAAGACTTGAGACTTCTGAGGTCTCTTCCAGTTCTGAACCTAAGATCCTAAGAGGAAAAAAAAGAAGCCAAAGCAGTAGCCTGAGGGCAAGTTTTTGAACCAAGAGAGAAAGGCAGCGTTTCCATCCTTGGAGTGTTCCCTTCCTTGAGACATTCCTTTGGGCCAGCTTCGCATGGAGGACAATAGCAGCCCTCTCTCCTCCCCAAGTAAAAAGCGTTTCTTCTTTGTTCACTTGCTTTGGCTGCCATTGAAAATGGATTGTTCTGCAAATACTAGCATTTTGTGAAAATGCCATGGCAGCTAGGGCAGCAGGAATTCCTCACCTTTGCAATATTTGGGGGAAGGAAATACTGAATTTATAGTATCATAGATTTAAAGCTGTAAGTCGTGTAGCCCAACCATTTCACTTTGAAATAAGCAAGACAGAAGCCCAGAAACATTCCATGATTTGTCCTAGGTCACATAGCTGTAGGTGGCAGGACTGGAATTGAAATGTAGAACTCTGATTTGGAATCACTGCCCTACTGTGGTTCACTACATCATTTCACTGTGTATAAACGGTCACAAGAGGTAATACGTACATGTGTCAATGATTGTTTTCCTTGCACATAATTCTCAAAGAAATGTCATTTAAAAAAATGTGTTATTTATTTGTATATTACTTCCACAGATCTTACCGCTATTATCAATGGAGGGAACTGTGTGAGGATAGTGGGACACTCATACAAAGACACTATTAGAGCTGTGTTGCACTTCTGATCATTGGTATTAGAAAACATAATTTTCATCTGTACCGAATTTTTTTTTATTTTAGATATTGAAACCGAACCTTCTCTTCCCCCCAGCAAAAAAAAAAAAATGTATTAAATGCCTTCTCTTTCTACTACTTCTCTTTCTCTTGCCACTAGTGGTCATTTCCATACAAGGCACTCCTTACCTCCTTATATAGCATCACATTTAGAATCAGCATACAAGGTTTCCAAGGATCAGTTGTGTTTGTAAGAGATTAGGTGTTTTGTTTTGTTTTGTTTTTTCAAACCCCAAATGCTTGAAAATGTCATTAAGAGGAGTTTAAAAGCAAAAAAAACCCCAAAAACTTGAATGGTGACCCAGACTGGTTAATGGGTTCATCTGACATACCATCAAAACTTTATATTCATCATTTTAAGAAAGACATTGGTAAACTGGAGAGTATCCAGATTTGGTTGGATATGAAACCATACCTTTTCATGGATTATTTTAAGAATTAGGGTGTTTTAATTTGGAGAATTAAAAAACAAAAACAAAACAAACAAAAAAGCAACTTGTTAGTGGGTACTGGAGATTTAGAGAGGGCAATATAGCTGCCATGGTAAAATTGAAAGAATGTTGAGTTAGAGTTCAATAATCTGAGTTCAAGTCCTGGCTTTGCTACTTACTACTTAGGTAATGTGGGATGGCTTGCTTTACCTGTTTGGCCTTCATTTTCTCATCTATTTAATAAGAGGGCTGTTATAGAAGACGTGTGAGGTCTTTTCCTTTTAACTCTAAATCTAAGATAATAAGAAAATGAAAGTATGTCCTGGGAAAGAGAGTTGACTTGTTTTGAGTTTTGCTTTTTTGTTGTTTATATTTTTATTTATTTATTTCTTTGGTTTATTTCTTTGTTTCCCCCACAGGACAAAATTGGAGAAGGAATTGCTTGGAAAGCCAGCTTAGGCTAGATATCAGAAAGGGCATACTAAGAGTTATCATTGTCCAAGTAGGAAGTGGCTGTCTCAAGAGGTGGTAGCTTGTCACTCACTGATAGGTTGGCAAAGGCTGAGTGACTGATCACTAAGGGGATATTTTGAGAAGGGGCCGATTGTTAACCTATGGGTTGTGCTACGTGACCCTTAAGTACTCTTCCTTCTAACATGCTATAATTTAACAATATATATTTTAGAGCCTGGACTCCATTCAGGAGAAAATAAGATGATATCCATGATTTTTCTTTATGACATTCCTTTTTTTTTCCCCTACTGTCAAATAGTCACTCAAAACCATTTGGAAAAGCCTTATTTCACTGTGTGTTTCATATTTGACTTCATAAAATATTATAAAATATTTTCTCTTCTTTCCTTTTTATTGTTTTATCTCTAGATACTAGCCAGCAAATCAGGTGAAAAAAAAATAAGATTTTTTTCCCCTGTTGCAAATTCCCCAGGTGGTATGGACCATGAAATAATCCTTTTCTTTGTCTCTTGGCACATTGAAATCTATTCTAAACTTTGAGAATTGAGTCACACACTATGGAAGAGACATTGGATTTAGCTCACTAGATTAGATTCAGTGAAAAGAGACCAGATTCAACTTTAAAGCTCAATAAAATTACTTGCTATATTGTTTCTGCTGATTTGTACTAAGGATGAAGGAAAACTATTGAGTGGAAGTTCATTTTTAACATTAATATGGAACAGTCTAGACAGTGATTCCAATTCCTGCAGGAGTAGCTTTGGAATATAGATAACGGCCTACTTTTACAAAATGATACATCTATCAAGGGTTTGGTTATGATTAAGTTAGATTTTTTCCCCATTTCAATAAAATTACCATATTCTTATTATGCCAAGAAGCCCACTAATGTCTGTTCATTCCTTCTTTTCCCGTACACTGCTGACTTTATCACTAGTGATAGCATGAGAGCTTTCTTCAAGTATTTGCAAGGTGGCCACAAGGAAGAAGGATTACTAGTTTTGTTCAGTGTGACCCCAGAGGACAGAACTAGCCTCAATGACTGGAAGTGGTACAGAGGCAGAATTAGGCTAGATAAGGCAAATGTTCTTGATAATTACTTGTCCAGATGTGGGAAAAGCTATCTCCAGAGGATAAAATGAGAATGAATTATCCATCACTGAGTGTATTCAGGTTTAACTTGGATCATGTGTTAGCGAGCTGATTCTTGCCCATGTATGTTTTTGATTAGACTGCTTTGGAGATCTCTTTCGTTTCTGAAATTCCAGGATATATTTAAAAAAGAAAGAGAGAGAGAGAGAGAGAGAGAGAGAGAGAGAGAGAGAGAGAGAGAGAGAGAGAGAGAGAGAGAGAGAGAGAGAGAGAGAGAGATTTTGTGGAAAGTTGCTCAGCTTAGCATTGGTTAGTGATAATAGCACTAATATGTAGCAATAATAAAGGTAGCTAGGAGGCTCAGTAGATAGAGTCCCAAGCCTGGAATCAGGCAGATTCCTCTTCATGAATTGAAATCCAGCACAAGATACTTACTAGCTGTGTGACCTTGTTTGCCTCATTTCCTCATCTGTAAAATGAGCTGGACAATGAAATGGCAATCCACTTCAATATCTCTGCCAAGAAAATACCAAATAGGGTTGCAAAGAGTTGGAGACACTGCATTGACTCCATCACGGTATCATGTCACTAATAGCTGATATATGTCAATGAATGGAACTGATGGACAACAGATGGATTTTCCCAAAATTTAGTATTTCAGGAATTCTGTTAATGTGAACATATGTTAATTATGATGATGGCGATCATAGGATCACAAAGTAAGATATAGAGTGCTTTGAAGGGACCTTGGAGGACTATTAGGTCCAACTGGCTCATTTTATAGATTGGGAAACTGAGGCCCAGAGTTTAGACTCACAAAGCTAGTTAGTGTCTGAGACAGGATTCAAACTCATGTCTTCCTGGATCCATCTCCAGCATTTTAGCCAAAAGGCAATGGTTAATGCTTATGATGATGACAATGCTATGAATAAGTATGCTGATTGACAGCTATACACCATTTTAAGGTATGCAAAGCTCTTTCCATATATTTTCTAATCTGATCCTCTAAATGGCCCTGTGAAGTAGGTGCAACTATGATCAATATTTTATTTCTAAGAAAAGGCAGACCCAGAGATGTTAAGTTGCTTCATGCAGCTAGTGAATGTATGAATCAAGGTAAAAATTCAAGTCTTCATGAATCACAAATTAAGGAAGGAAGGATCGTTAGAGATCACTATCCTCACTGTTGTACCGATAAGGAAAATGAGGACCTATCAGCAATTTACCCAAGGCAACATAACAGATTCTTATCATATCTGTGGTCTCCTAATTCTGCTTCCCTCAGAGGATTATTGTAAGTATTAAATGAGATAATATTTGCAAAGTACTTAGCACAGTGCCAGGTACAAAAATGCCTCATCACTTCCCTTCTGATTCTCACTTTTCTTTTCACTCTTTCTATGGTGCTACATGACTCTTATCTTTTTGGTCTTCACTATTTGGAAGTGCTTAAAGAAATGCATAGAGTCTAAAGGTAGAAATTATCCTGTGTAGAAATCACAGATTAGAAATGTTATTTTGAACTTTGGGGGTTGAAATCAAGACAGATAAAAAGTAAAAACTGTTGCAGAAAAGAACTGTGTTTGTTGGACTTAACTTCCAAAGGTCCCAGGGCAGTTGATAAATGGCACAAAAATAATTGAAAAACTACCAAAGGAAACAAGTTTTCTGGTTATCATATTTTCCTAGACTCCGAGAAAACCTCACCAGTCAAGTTTAAACATTTAAATGAAAGATCAGAATATTGAATCAGAGGCTTGCACCCAAGCCCATTTTCAATGAAAAAGTTTACCTACCATTTATGACTCTTAACCATACCACGTGATGACATCCCATGCGGCATCTCTGGGTAGCCTCCTTAAATTCTGTCTTTTTCTTTATTGCAGACCTCCAATGACACCTTTGAGATCCCTCTCACATTGACTGGAACTGTCGTATTGAGGAAGAGACTTAATTATGAAGATAAGACCCGTTACTATGTCATAGTTCAAGCTAATGTAAGTATTTCCCATTGGTTGACACTGAATTGTACTGTTCTGTTTGAAAAATATGTGTATGCATGTGTATGTGTGACAGGCATATGAAGAAATCAAGCAATAATCCTTGAAAGATGTAGTAAAAGAAATATAGCTTTGTACAACAACCTTCTGATTATTAATGTCAAGTGCGGTGTGAAACAGAGATGTATGTTCTCGAAAGATGTTTGTGCAGAGCTGAACAACTCATTTTGGTAGCAGAGACTCTTTTAGTTATCAGATTGGTAAAGCCAATGAATCTTGACGTAGAATATATTTTTAAAAGTATAAAATAAAATGCACAGGTTTAAAAAAGTAACCAAAAGTTAGTGAAAATGAAAATGAAATTTGTTTTCTCCACCTAAGATCAAAGACTCCTTGAAATCTCTTGTGAAGAGATCCCAGGTATAGAACCTCTACCGGGAAAGATATTATTGTGGTCACATGACCAGAAAAGAGGTTGGGCCAGCCCAATCCAATGGACATTTATTAACCACCTGCAGCTTAACAGACACTGTGCTAAGTACTGGGGAAACAAGTAATAAAAACAAGAAAGACAGTCCCTACCCTTGAGGAGCTTACAATATAAAGGGGAGACAACACACAATAGGAAAAGGAAAGGGAGAGGAGAGAGGTAGGAGGGATGGAGCACCAGGGGGTACCCAGTGCCCAGCCCATGGACACTTTGTTCCACGGAATTTAAACCAGGCAAGGCAGCACATGCATTGTAGGGTGTGAGCTGAAAGGGAAGTTTCTCCTCTTTATAAAGGAAGTCATTGGGTGGAGTTTGGTCCTCCACCCTCTAGCCCTTCAATCAGAGGAGAGGTGGTGTCAATTAAGACTTGAATTGCCAGCCTGGTGGTGAGTTCAGGAAGTGCTGATCTTACGCTGGGTGGGGCACTTTATTCTGATGGATTTTTAATCAGGAAAAGCGGTGGCTGCAAAATGGACTGAGTCCTATGGGAAAGTGAGGCCTGACTAATAGACAGCACACAATTCCCACTGATAGTACTTTCAAGAAAGAATTCCCCCACTGATGTGAGCAGATCTCTTGTGAAAGTCCTAAGCAAAGACATGGATAATAGTTGCCCAAGATGAGAAGGCTGATGGAGCTACCATTCTTACTCTGGGACAGAGTGAGCACATCAGTAACATCACAGAGCACCGAAAACATTGTTAGATGTTTTCCCCCCATTTCAATGAAATTGACAGTTTAATCAGAGATAGAAGAAAGACATGCACTTTTAGGTGCTTACTTTTGAAAATGTCTTATCGTAAATTACTGTTGTGTATAAGTCAACATTTGGAAAATAGAAATAATAGCAGCTGAGTCTTCCAATTTGAATTCCAAAAGCAGGGCTATGTTATGTCAAAGAAATATAGAATATCAAGTTGAAAGGAATCTCCGGACTTATTCATCTTGACCCTGCTATTCTTGGAGTCGTCTTGTAAAATCTCAGCTAATGTTTCCACCACACTTTGCTTGAACATTTCTTTTGTTATTGTTCAGTCATTTCAGTCATGTCCAACATTCCATCACCCCATTTGGGGTTTTCTTGGCAAAGGTATTAGAGTAGTTTCCCATTTTCTTCTCCAGCTCATTTTACGGATGAGGAAAGTGAGGCAGAGTTACAAGACTTAACCAAGGTCATTCAGCTAGTGTCTGAGGCCAAATTTGAACTCAGGTCTTCCTAACTCTAGTCCCAGCACTCTATCCATTTGCATCACCTAACTGCCCTGAAGATATCTAATGATGTATAAATCATTACTTTATTATATGATTTTATTTTCTGAAAGCAAGGTTGGTTAAAAAAAAACAAAACACTTTTCCTTACCTAGAACAGTTATCTAACATCTTTTTTTTCACTTTTTGTCCTACTTTTTTGGAGCTACGAATAATAAGTTGAATCCTTTGTTTAAATAAAAGTAATATAAATACTTCAAGACAACTATCCTGTACCCCTCCTCTCCATTTTTTCCTCCAGTTTCATCAACTGATTTTCACCATAAATGCTTTTAAGCCATTTCATTTTCTTTATCCTCTCATAGGTGGAAGGCATTTTTTGTCTCTTTTTTTTTCTTAAACTTGATTTACCTAGAGCTGAATGATCAATTCCAGATATGTTCTCACCAGTGCATAGGATGGTGGGACTCTCATTTCCTTCACTTTGGACATTTCCATTCACTATCTATTTTATGTCCCATTTGTCAGTATCACATATTTCCAAAAGAGACTGGGTGATTTTCTTGAGATTAGAATATATCCTAAATCACCCAACTATTTTATTATAGTTATTATTTGACCCCTTAAGCGCTAATTCATTTTTTACTGTAATCAAAAATATTTCGGTGGAAGGAAAAATAATACACAGGAAATGAATTTTAGTTATCTTTGCTCTATAATGACTTTAGCATGGTGGTAAAACAGTTACTTTCCACTTTAGTGTTTCATTTTTTAACTGTTTTCAGAGAGGAAAGGGATAAACTTTCATTTTTAAATCTCACTGAACAGTGAAGAACATATTTTTCTAAGTTTTTGCTTGTCTTTAGATCTATTCTAATGGCAAAATGGTGGACCCTAGGTAAATTTATGAGATCCCTTCTTTTGAACCATAAACTATGACAGGCAGTGTAAGTATCCAAGCCTACCCCAAACCCGTAAGGTGTTTAACCAATGCATGAAACTAGGCTTCTGAAAATGCAGCACTTCTTTGTCCTTGGGATTAACTGTGGTTCAGAAAAGTGTTTTCTCTAGTTGGAGGTAAGAACAGTGTCTCCAATATGTATTGTATACCCAGAATCATGTTAATTGGTTAAAAATAGCAGAGAAAAAGAAGACACAATTTCTGCCATTGGGGAGTTTGGACTCTAAGAAGGGAAGGGAATAGGAGAGTAAATATGTATGTAGCACTTTACAAACAAAATCTCTCTTAATCCTCACTATAGCCCAGAAAGTAGGCACTCAGTCCATTGCATTACCTACTTGCATATATATATATATATAAAATGTGTGTATATATATGTACATATACACATATATACACATACATATATACACACATGTGTGCATGTATATGTATGTATATGCATATGTGTGTATGTAAATATGTAAATATGTGTATGTATATACATGTAAAATTTAATATATACACAAATTAATACAGCTGGATAAATGAAGCTTGCAACTGTCCCAGTTGAATATGTGTTGCTTAAGCTTAGGGACTCTTTCATTTGTGTCTTTGTATCACCAATGCCTTGCAAGATCTTGGCCCACAGTAGTTCCTTAACATATACTTGCCAGTTTGAGCCAAACTGAGTTTGCACGTGATTTAGTTTTAATGAGTCTGTTCGAACATTGCAGTGATGCTTTCTAAGTGTCCAACAGGACATCTGTCTTGTCTGTTCATTTTCCTCATTTTTCTTTTCCTTATATGGTCACAATGCCCACTATTTACTTTTGGATGCTCTTTTCCCCTTGATTTGAATTATTTTATGAAGACCTTTCTATATTCCTTTTCATTATTCATATTTTCCCTAACCTTAATTGCATTATAATATCCCATGGACTAGGAACACAAATTGCTAATAATCACTTGAAAATTCATAGAAACCTTCCAGTCATCCAAAAGACGTAATTAAAACAAAACTCTGAAGAAGTGCTAAATGCCAATCAAGTGGGCAAAGATAATTACAGGCAATAAAACTCAGTTCTGACACAGTTGTGGGGAAAATACATCCACTCATCAATTGCTGGTAGAATTGTAAATAACAACAATAATAATAAAGCAATATAGCAACCTGCTGTAAAATAACCATTTCCTTTGACTCAAACCCATTGTCTTGGTGACAACCTTAAAACATAAGTCTGTTATCTCTTCCCCCCTTTTATAATCCTCAGTAACTCCCTATAGGTTCTAGGTCACATACCAGCTCCTCTAGTTCACAGCCTTTTCTAGTCTGACTCCAAACTACCTTTTCCATACTTACCTTGTGTTAGTCCCCTGCCCATGCTAAATGGGCCTTCTGGTTTTTGCTCTGGATATTATTTAACCTCCTAACTCTAGGTGAATGCTGGACTGTACTGCCTCCTCACTCCTACTTCTAATTTCCTAGCTGCCTTTCAAACTCAGCTCAGACTTCTGCTGATATTGAAAGCAGTTCCACCCAGGAGTTTCCACTCTTCCCGTGGTAGTGAATTTCAGCCACATTGAGTATAAGAATGTGGATTAGTTAGAGCTTCATGAACAGAATGTGACTAGTTAGAGCTTCATGGAATGAAATCAGCTTTAGCTACAAGATAACTCATATGTCTCAAGTCCTGTTTTCTCATGAGGAAAAGCATTTCTCTACTACAGGGGAGGTGATGGATACAACTGTGATGAAAAATGTTTTGAAAAAGCAAAAAGAAACACAGTGGTTGCAGTTCAAAAAAGTAATGAAATCAGTACTGAGAGCAAGTCTGCAGATTCTAGCCTTGGTGGACTTTCCAGATCAAGTATTGTAGCCAGCCTAGATACAAAGTCTACCAAAAGCTCAGGGCAAAGCAACAGTCATTCTGATGCCTGTGCTGAATATCAAATAAAATATGTTGGTGCCATTGAGAAACTGAAGTGATGGAAAAAGTCTGGAAGGGTTGCTGGATCTAATAAGTGACATTGATGTGGTACAGCAAGATGGAAAGTTACCATTTGTTCTGCTGGAGGAGGAGTTTGTCATGGGAGTTTCTAAATATGGCATTAAAGTATAAACATCCAATCAATATGGCAGTTTACAAAGACATGCTTTGTATTTAATTGTCTGAATGATGTGTTATGATGATGGTCTAGAAGCAAGAAAAAACTTACTGGTGCTAAAGATCACAGATGCAAGCTGTCAAGAGTATAGACCATTGGTGCATTAGGGTCACAGTCTGGAACAAACACAAGCCAGTTGCAAAGTTTTAGCCACAGCTTTTGACTATATTAACATCTGAGAAACCATGA